GAATAATCAAATGATATCATAATGTAGTCATCTTGATGTCAACATGACATTGATTGAGATTTTCCCATATAACTCTACAATTATTATTGAAATATCCATTTTTATCTTTCTTTATGATGTTTCATCGCGTACAACGTCAAAATATATGGTGTCAATTTTTCGTCATTTTGGTCCACTTTCTTGACGCCATGACAACAATCGACTAATTTGACGTCATATTGCCGTCATTTTGACTTGACTGTTTTCACTGGGTGTATTTGACTGCCTTGAGATCGGTCTTAAGCCGTCGACAGCACGTCAGTACAGATTTCTTGCAAGCTTTATCAGTACATGAATAGAAATTTGTTATGTAAAATAAAATATAGTTTGTCTATTTAAATATCTGTTACATAAATAATATAATCATACATTTTGTCTATCCAATATGTATACAGGGTGTTCCGTAATTGGCAATTAAGATTCACAGAGTGAAAGAGGATGAAATTTTGAACCAAAAGTTCCTTCTTCTTTGGCTCAAACCATTACTCACGGAGTTATTAGCAGTTAAAGTTAATCAATCAGACGGCGCGCTGCCGGGGTATGCAGGAGCGTAACATGCCATGGGGCTCCTCGCGCTCGCCGTATGTTACCCGATTAAAATGTTATTTTAATTTTTCATGTTAATTAATAAATAAGTGAAGAAATCAAGAAATGATAAATAAATGAAAGCAAATTAAAACAAGAACTAATTAATCATATTTTAATGAATTATATATGAAATTTGGATTGAAAAACTGAAGAACAATATAATATAATTAAAAAAAAGTAAAGTAAAGTAAAGTGTGCAAATTAGAAATTTGCACATGGCTTCCTCATAGAGAAAGGTTTAGGAGCAAAATCTAATTTTTTTCGATGTTTCTTGAAAGTGTGCGAATTAGAAATTTGCACATTGCTTCCTCATCATTGAAGCGTGCAAATTGGAAATTTGCACATTTCTTCCTCATCATTAAAGTAGGCAAATTAAAAATTGGAACATTGCTTCCATTGTTATGGCTTCCTCATAGAGAAAGCTTTAAGAGAGAAATCTAACTTTACTACGATGTTTCTTGAAAGTATTCAAATTATTCTTATTTCGCTCTTAAAGCTTCCTCTATCAGGAAGCCATGTGCAAATTTCTAATTTGCACACTTTACTTTACTTTACTTTTTTTTCTAATTAGAAATTTGCACATTGCTTCCATTGTTATGGCTTCCTCATAGAGCAAATTAAAAAAATTAATGAATAAATAAATGAATAAATAATAAATAAATCTGAAAGATAATTTTTTATATTTAATGTAGGAAAACGTTAATGTAATAAAATTTATTGCAAAAAATATTACCTCAGTCAGGGTTTGAACCTGGACCTTCCTACACTCTAGGCGGGCGTCTCTAGGAAATAATATTTTTCACATTAAATTTTCTGTATTATTGTTTTCTGTATTACTGTTTTCACGAAAATTATTTGCAGTTTTATGTTTCGTGGCTCTAAAAAACCGATTATTATTCAATGGTCATGAAAAGAGCCGATTTTCTCATACACTGAGAAAACGATACTTAAAAATTTATTTGCTGGATATAAATTTATTTCAATAAAATAAAATACGAAGTAAGAATTTATTTCTAACAAGTTAACGAGTTAATTGAAAAATTAATAAGAATTCTTCAATGTCGCCAGCGATAATTATCAACGTCAGTGTTTTCTTGACCATACCTGGCAATTTCAATAATACAGAAAATTTAATGTGAAAAATATTATTTCCTAGAGACGCCCGCCTAGAGTGTAGGAAGGTCCAGGTTCAAACCCTGACTGAGGTAATATTTTTCGCAATAAATTTTTTGTATTATTAAAATTGCCAGGTATGGTCAAGGAAACACTGACGTTGTTAATTGAAAAATGATATATTTTACAGAAATAAGGAACATTTCATAGAAATGTATTTCGTTATCATAATTACATTTTTTTTAATAACAAATAAATGTCGAAGAAAATGTCAGATAAAATATTTGTTTCTTAATATTTTTATTTTTTAGTGTATTGTATGTTACAATACACAAAAATTTTCAATAATCGGAACACCATTGCAACCGCATATTCCTAAGACCGAATCAAGTAAAAACAGTCCTGTACTACTTTTCCCTCCGACAGACAGATATCGAGATATCATGAACTAAACATTGAAAAAGTTAGAGATTTTCTCTCGAATATCTCAAAAAGTATTGGGCAAATCGAAAAATATCTCAGACAAAAGTTATTCGTATTAATTAGTAGAATAAGATAGTGTAATAAACAATAGGGGGTTTCATTTAAAAAATTAAACGTGACCTTCACGTGACGTTCAAGCAACTCGTCAAGGTCAAACTAATGGCACCGTCTTGTGTCTCCCTTCGAACCAAACAACTTTTGTCTGAAACGTTTTTTTCTGCGATCAAAAGTAAAAAAGTTATTCGGGGTGGGACATTAAATTGGGACACCTTGTATAGTTTACATACATAACAGAGTACATACAAACTAATCTTAATTTCTCAAAAACCGATTGATCATTTTCAGGACGCAAATAGGTGGTCAACTTGCTACATAAAGTCGCAAAATATACGTCACTACAACCAATCAG